TGCTCAACGGTTGGAATGGAAGTATCGTCTTTGTAACTATGGAAATATTAATATTCTCCTAGAAGCGCTGTTAGCTGTGCTAGAGTGCTAGTGCTAAAGTAGTTTGCTAAAGAATGAGTAGTGAGGATGGCGGCGCTAGTTGTCGCATAGGATGAAGTGGAAATCTGCTTATCGACAGCAGGTCGCTACAAATAGCAATTTTTCTTTAAGAATGCGCGTCATCTACAAAATGTTTGAAACAGTGTTTCTGGTGATAATTATATCAGCATAATTTTTAGACAAAATATTTTTTGAAACATTCTTTTTCACAGAAAATAAACCCTTTTAAAAATTTCGAAAAGTAAGATGCAAGGTTTGAACCTTCATCTTTTAAATGAGATATTATTCATCCAAATTGGTTAAGAATTGTACTTTGAATTTAGAACGGCAGAGATGGCGTTTTAAACATGTTTTCATTAGATTACTAATTTACATTATTAAGAGAATAGAAGAAATATTTTTAATCATAGGTCCGCATAATACTATTTCTTAATCATATTAATTTATTATATTTTTAAAATACATCAAGAGATTAAAAATGAAGTTACTGCAGACCAGGTGATCGTCTAAAATGAGCAGACGTTGCAAATGGACTTTCTTCAGCAAATCCGGCTATTTCCTGAGGTATTATAGCATATTCTTCGACACTAGTGCATGGTCTGCACATGCATTCTAACGGGGCTTTGGTAACCACCTATAAAATAAAAAAAATAAAAATGTATTAAAACTTTAGACAAAAATTACGTATACACGTGATATTTTAACTTCTGTTGAATTAAAAAATATGAAGAATTAAAAAAAATATGATTTGAATCATAACAAAAATTATTAAAATGACATTGTTTTAAATTATTTTCGAGATGCATGTCAATAATGTTTTGAAATTCCCGCGATCGTCATCTTCTGGACCTCTAGTACTGGCCGTTTCTACACAAAACAATATGGCGGTGCAAAACTCGTGGTGTCAAACGGTTTGCTATTAACATCAATAAGAAAACGACACTTCAAAGCAGATTTGAAAAATTTATGGTGTTTCACGAGAAGTTTTTAAGTTCAATAAAGAGTTTAAGGAAATAAACTCAACTTTCGGAATTTTCTCTCTCCTGGTTTTGCTTTCGGACAGAAAAGGGATACACTAGCCTCCCTTTCGCCGCTTTCTTGACAGCACATGCAACTTCTTTCCATTTGCCAAATTTTTGATCCAGACACCTGTAGCGAAAGGTAATTTTATATATAAACTTTATTTTATAATTATTTATATTCATTTAAATGACCAAGATAGTATGAGTATATGCAAAATATATTTAGTTATCAAATATTTTTTTCAAATAGTATCCAAAACAATGGCTTACTTAAGAATGTTAAATTTATTTTAAATTATTTGTTTACTCTTGATATAATCAAACAATAATTAAAACATTTTTTCAATTTTTGAATGTTTTCTGTGTTTTCACTTGTAGTATTTTTTTTGCTAATAAATAAGTTTTGATTTTATTATAAATATTAATGAAATAATATTAAATGATTAAAATTAAAATAAAAATGTTAGTCAATTATTCCATCAATTGTAATTACTTTCAAATTCTTTGAACTGTTTTTTTAATCATTTTAATAGAATTAGAATATAACTATTTTGAACTTTGTTTTGGGTAAAAATGAGATATTATAATTCCTATTGATTTGAACTAAAAGCTGAAACAACTTTCTTTTAATTACTTTAAAATATTTTTTATTTTACCTGTAGATAGCTGCTGCAACGTCCTCTGCAAGCATAACTTGGTATTGGCTTTGGAATACAGCCTGGATATTGGAGAAAGTGTATCACCGGAGTCGCTTGACATTCATCGATTCCTACAATTGCTTTGGTTTTCTCGAAAAGGGTATACATCACCAAACTCATTATAACTACACAGTAAGTAATTCAACATTATTACATCTAACTTTTATAAGTTATAAAAAGGTTAATTATTTTAAATATTTTATATTTGATAATTGAAAATAGTTTTGTATTTATTTACCTATGTGGCACCAAAACATCTTTTTATTATGATACATTCTGCTCGCTCTCTGGCACTTTACTGTGCTTGTTGAGCCTTCGCTGTTAGCTTTTATACTCTGCGGGTGGCCATTTTTCCTCCCTTCTTTCAACTACGTTCCTAAATAATGTTAACGGTGTGTATATTAAATTCAAACAACTATTATATTTTCACCTCTTTTTATGCGTATAGTATTTATAGTCTTATACTAAATTCTATGATAAAAGGTTATTGCTATTAAATATTATGTAATCAAAATTTCAAAAATAATACTATTATGAACAAAATAATGAATGGTATAAATTTTTAATACATGTTCCTATAACAACAAAATATTAACTATTCATATATTTTTTAATTAATTCAATTTTACAATGAAATACTTATGGAACTATTTCTTTGCGAAATTATTATCAATTTCAACTAAAAATTTTCTCTAGCATTATGATATTATTTTATACATATGAGAAATCATGGTATACTCATATAAATTAATATAAACGTTTGAGGATCTTGGAAAACAGTATTATTAGAATTACACATAATTTTAAATTATTTATTAATGTTATATTTATAAATACACATAATTAGAAGTATTAATAAACATATATCACGATATAAAAACACATAATATTCAGTTATTTAAAACAATTATTATAACTACTTCTATTCTTAAATAACATAATAGCAATAAACTTTTATATATTCATTTAATAAATTTTTATTATTTTTATTTTATTGCTTTTTTGAAGAATTTTATGTAAATAATATTTAATACGTTAAAAATTATATATTCCCTTAATCATGGCTTGAAAGTAGTTATATTATTATTTAAAGATCAAATTGAATAGAGCATTAGAAATAATAATATTAAGTCACTAGACCCAAATATCCGATTTATTATTTCATTTTGTATATCATTAATGTATTATATGTTTTTAATATTATCATACATGAATATATAACTTAATGTTGCTTTTAAAAATTTAATTAGATATTACAAAAAGTATAGTAAAATTTTTAAAATTTAACTTTATATTATTGCTAATGCAATTGATACTTCTGTAATTATTGAATTTTCGGTAAAGTACTTTCGGTTACACATATTCAAATATTAATAATATTTGTCTATTATTGCTAGTATCTCTCTCTTCCTCTCTTTCGTAATGGAATTTATTTAGTAAAGAAAAGTGGTGTATGATGACATTTGGAAAGGTAAAGTATATATAGATAACATATTTTTATGAATAGAATTTATTGTAAGCAGTAGTACAAGTATCTCCACATTTTTAATTCAAGTTATTGTTATCACAATTTTACATCAATTGAAGTTAATTTCATTTAATATTTCATCTGGAAAAATTTCCACATTTTATACACTTGCATTCTGCAGGCTCTCGTAATTTTATTTCCATAACTCCATCTTCGTCGTTCATTAATTTTATTCCATCTGCATCATAGCATTGATTTAAAATAACAAATCTCTCCTTCAAATAACTTTCACGGCAACAATAACATTCCTGAAAAACGAAGAATATATATGTATGTATGTATTTTATTTTATAATTCACATGTATTTTTACATTATACATCATAATTAGTGTATACCTTAGCAAATCCAGTAGCAGTAATAACACTTGGTTGTACTTGTGAGGTACAAAATCCTTCGCACTTAGTGACTGATATGTCACCGCTGCATGTTCTCTTTATATGTCCAACTTCATCATATTCATCTATAAAAGAAAATAGTATAAATATATTTTCCCTTTTATTTTATTTTTATTTTTATCAGTTGTATATTTTAATACTCTGACCTTTAGTAATATGAATTTCTGATTGTAATGTTTCACAATTTTCATCTTCTAATATCTGTCCAATGACACAGAAATTATACCAGGATGTAATGATTAACAAAAATGAGGTGAATTTAATCATTATAGAAATAATATTTAAAGATTTTCTTTGCAGAGGATTAGTTTTCTTTTAGTAAAGATCTGATCAAAGTACAAAAGAGAAATGAAACCAGAGAAAAGGAAACACTTGCTTTTATAAGAAAGTAACCCTCTAGCATTTAACAGCTTGGGGTGTCGAACCCCTGCTAAGACTTAATAGCAATTGTAACCACTTCTAGCTTTTATGCTATAATGTGCTTGATTTCCTAGCATGATATACTATTTTCAGAATATTTTGCATCATGTATTTAATAGCTTTTTTATGTTTTTATACATGGTAGGGGTAACTGTATCGAAGGAACTTGCCTGCCTTTACTAAAACATTTTGTCATCCTGTGTAACTCGTATCTACGTTTAGTAACGTTAAACAACAGTGTAATGTATAAAACTAGTCTATTAAATTATTTAATTGAATATTTTTTTATTTTTTAATGTACTTTCTAATGATCATTTCTTGTACATCCTGGACAATTATCCCTTAAATCATCTTCATTATCAAATAATACACCACACCAAATACAATAAAAGTACTTTCCACGTAAATATTTGGTTAGAATATCTAATTTTTCGTTAACAGTAAGTTCTTCTTCTTCTTCTTCTTCTTCTTTTTCTTTCTCTTTATCTTCTTCTTCTTCTTTTTCTTGTTCGTTATTGTCTTTCTCTTTTTCTTCACTTTCATCTTCTTTCTCTGTGTCATTTAACCAAAACCATGATTCCTGAGGTTCTTCTATATTTGCTTTAGTATCTAGTTGTTGACAAATCTTCTGACTTTTGTATAAATCTATCTTTAACATTTGTTCTAATTTTTTTTCCGCCATTCTTTCTCGAAAATCTTTCATGTGTGAATTATCTAATCGTGTATCTACAATTTTCTTTTTGATTACTTTCTGTTTTGGTGCTTTGCCTAACCCATGTCGATCAGCTTTTAATTCTACCCCAATTGGCTCGATGATACCTGATTCTGTTTTTCCGATACCTTGTCCTGGCTTATATCCCATTTTCATAAGCAATGCGAAACCTATAAAAAGAAAAATAGTAAATAAATAGAACTAATCTCATAAGTTATTTGTAGAACTCACCTTTGTTATTACTTGTTATGGCATTAGACAAGCCCTCTTCTCGTTTTTCATGCTCTATTAAATGTATCGATTTATTTTTTTCTTTCATTTTTGCTTCATGCTCTGCCTTTTTTTTTTCTAATTCAAACTGTCTTTTATCCGTGTGTCTATAAACTAGACTTGGCGTAGCGCATTTCTCAGATAATTCCAAAAATTTATCTGACATATAATCCTCCTCATCTGACATTTTACTTTATTTAGTTATTTTTAAAACTTAATATCAGAAATTGAAATTGTTTATGTAAACTTTAACCTTAACAAAAATTTTTCTTGACGTCAACGTCACTTTTTTATTATCATTCAAAATTATCTTAAATTTGATTGAAAACGTTAAAATATTTATTTATCAATAAAAATTTCGCATTTACACGCATATCTTTTTAATTTTTAGATAGTTGTTAGTAAAATGAAATGCATAGGAAATACTTCAATAAAGAACCAGATTTTGAGGTTAAGACGTGACCGTGCTTATAACACGTACTAAACGTACAACAAACATAGTCTCCCGTAGTGACGTTATTAATGTAATAGAAAAGACTGCATTATACATAGATGCTTTTAAAACTGACACTGAATCGATCTATTTCGTGTTTCTTATATTTAAAAAATGTAATACATTTTAAAACAAATATTAAGAAGTAGAAAAAATATTAATGTATAGACGAGTAAGTTGATAAAACTCGGAAGCATATTAAAAATAATCGATACGAAGATTTATTTTAAAGCTTGTAGCGTGATATTTTTAAAAAAGATTTTACATTGACATTCAAGAAAGAAACGCCCGCGCATATTTAAAATTATTAAGATCGGCGTGGAGATAGATCACGTGACATAATGGGACGCCGCTCGCTCGCACAAAACGAAGAGGACACAAAAGTGAAAGGATTAGACGATATAATATTATGATTTGTCGTCTTTTATATTCGCGTTAATGAGAAGGAAAATCTTATTCTTAATGTGATATCAGGTTTATTATTAACTTTTTATTTAATCGTTATTTATTCGATTGGTCTTTAATTATAATCGATTAAATGAACTCGTCCCTTGTAGTACGCTTTGATGCATAATATGTACGTGTTTTAATTATATCATCATCATCATCATCATCATCATCATCAAGAATTACTCATTTTCATAGAATACCAAACAAAGTAAGATAAAGTTAGCTTAGATCGTTTGCTTTTAAATGTCTTTGAATGAATATAGGATTAATAAATGTGATATTATTATATCACCATTAATTTTTTTCACATATTCCTCTCGATATATTTCATTATTTTTAAATAGACATTCATATGAGAATAGAGAGAATGACGAATAAAAACGCTCTTTTATCTATTTAGTTAATTTCCTGTTTCTGATATTTCCCACCGATAGAGACAAGTTCTTGCCAGGCCGCTTGTTCTTTCGTTCGCTAGTTCCATATAACATAACCTATAGCGGTTAAGAATTACGGGCTCCAGGTATATTTGCTGCCGTAAGCGATACACGCACATACACATAGCAGTGTGTATCCGTGTACACGTACGTGTAGTTGAGGATGTTGGACGGCGATTGGCGGCTGTTAACATGGCCGACCGATGCGCGAGTTCAGTTGCGCAGCTGACAATTTTGTCAAACTTCTCCTATACCGACTGGAATATATACAGTATTACAAATCATTTAATAATTCCAAGTCATTTTGTTCTTGACTTTAGAACAATGTATCTTCAAGCATTGCTTTTGTCTTATATGTTGTGTGAGATTAGTGAAAATATATAGACGTATAGAGAGCGTAAAAGCGAAAGGTGGAAGAGTTAGTGCAAGATAGAGAGAAGGAAAGGAGGCGTTAAAAAGAGGACTCGTTTAGAGGGAGGAAAGTGCTAACGTGTAGAGAGGGAAAGAGAAAGAGAAAGAGAAGGGGACAGTGGCCGATCTGCTTATTTCGAGAAACATACCTTTTTCATGTAACCCTGTATAATCAATCATCAATTTGGGAAGATACAGCTTGTGCAGTGAATTATTTTCTTAAGTAGAAGAAAAATTAAAGTAGAAAGAATAATACGAAACATCTTTTCATTTCGATACTATCGTACCGAGACGATATATTATACGCGGAGAACGAAATTCCTCATTAAAGAGGAACGAAGAACGATCAAAGAAAGACAACGACAACGACAACGACGAATAACGTAATATACTAATGAAGAAAAAGATTTCTTTCCATCGTTGAAATCATGCTAATTCGTCTGTCACGAGGAGGCGTGACGAGTCGTAGGTCGCAAGAGTTTCGAGCACGATTCTTCTCGTGACCGAATTCTGAGGTTCGGGTGTGTACGAAGTACATGGTGCGTGCCTAAGTACACGAAATTAAGAAGAAACGATTGATTGAACTTTATCTCGATGAACGATATAGTAATACTGCGTGCGAATTTTTATCTTCCTTTTCCGCATTTTTTCTCGACGATCTATCGTTAAAGAATATTATTACATTTTCAAGGTTATTTTGGAATAGAGTTAACTCTGTCTGGTGCATCCAAGATATTCGGCTATGGTTGTAGCCAGTGGTGGATGGGTACAAAATGCCAATTATCCTGCTGCTCAGAATAATAACAACCTGAGCTTGAACAACATGCAGGACAATAAGATGGCACCAAAAGTTGTCCTGATTTGCAGGGACAACTCACATCCATTTCAAGAACGTACTCTGACTTTGGAAGAGCCTGTGAAAATAGGTCGGTCGGTGGCCAGGGTAAGAGCTGCCCAAAATAATGCGATCTTTGACTGTAGAGTATTATCAAGGAATCATGCGTTGCTTTGGTATTCTAATGGTAAATTTTATTTACAAGATACTCGTAGTAGCAATGGAACATTCATTAATAATCAAAGGTTAAGTACTTCTGGTTCAGAATCTGCAGCCGAAGAAGTATATTCTGGGGACATAGTTCAATTTGGAGTGGATGTCGTAGAAAATACAAAGAAAGTCACACATGGTTGCATAGTTGCTACGATAAAGCTTTATCTACCTGATGGTAAAGAAGTCAAAGCTAGTCCTAGCACAGCCATTACCTCGATAGGTAGTAATGTTTCTTTGGAAGATTTATATAAGTTGTATCAAGTAATACAAGAAGCTTCTAGAAGGGAAAAGGCACTTAATTCTAAACTAGGGCATCTTCAACAATTGGTAGAAAATATTCGTAAAGTTACTAATCAATCATGGAAAACATTGATAACGGAGGATCGTTTATTATCATGGGTCGAAACTGTAGAAAATCAGCTTGTTGTTTATTCAAAAAACTACACAGAAGATAAGATTAGAAATGAACTCGTTAAACTTCAAGAAGAAAAAGCACAATATCAAAATACGGCGAAGGAAGCATTACAAAAAATTTTACAAGAAAAGCTGGAAATTACTAAAAGGCTAGTTCATGTAGAAACTCAATTAAGTGAAACCGAAGAAGAAAATCAGAGTTTGCACAGTGTTTCAAAATATGCTCAAAATGAGCTACAAGAACTTAGTGTCAAATATGCAGAAGTACAAAAGAAACTTCAAGAAACGACAAATAAACTTTTGGAAACAGAAGAAAACTTAAAAGTAGTGAAGCAAAATGCGGAACAAGAGATACAAGTTATATTGAACAGATTGGAGCGTCAAGAGGCAAAAGAACAAAACTTGTTAGCAAGATTACAAATATCTAGATTAAGTTCGGTTAATATTTTTAAGCAGATCACTGCCCTGAGAAATTATATGCAAACTCTGCAAGATATGGATCCAAAATTAGTAACTAGTGAACATTTTGATTCAAAAGATGGTGAGAATCCTATAGATGCTATTAATGCAATTTTGAATAAATTAAATTCTATTAGTCCTGGCAATATGGAAATGGATTCTGAAATTAATTTAAAAGAAGAACAAGATAACCAATTTAATTTACACGATATAGATTCCAATCAATTAAAAGTAGCAAATTCTGAATCATTTAGTACGAAAGAAAAATTGGATGATATGCCAATAGGACACGATAACTTAACGGAGTATATTTTGCCACCTCCATCTAGAAGAACATTAGTGAATGGAAATGCTAACCTAGACAATGTGGATATTAATTTGGATACCGAGATAGATTCAGATGCAACGGATGAAACATGTAGTATTGCTAGTGATGATGTCAGTATAAAATCAACTATAGAAAACAAAAAAGAAGAACATGCCTTTGGAGAAACTAAAGAAATATTTGTACCTCATAAAGCAGAAGTTAGATTTGCGTCTAATGAAAATGGTGAACAGTTGGAAGTTTATTATGAGCCAACAGAACAAATGGAAAAGGAGAGCGAGCTATTAGAAAAGTCAAGCGATGCCATAGATTCTGAAAAATCTTTCAGAGGAATAGAAAATATATCAGAGAAGTACGAACAAACCGAAGAGAAGAATGTTAATGAAAAAGTTGACTTAAATAAAGACTGCGAAGAAGACCATCTAGAGGGAGATTATATTAAGACATTAAAGCCTATGACTAAGAATGAAAGTATGCAGCAGTGTTTGCATTCAAAAGAATACATATTGCACACTCTAATTGGATCTTTAGATTCTTTAAAAGATGAAGACAGCCTAGAAGCGCAACAAGTGGTCAAACAGGAATTAGAAGAATTAAGAGACTCGTTGATTCATGGACCAACCGAAATTATTATGGATAGGTTGAAAGAAATATATTATCGTGCAAAAAATGAGGCTCAAAGGATGCAGGAAGTTAATGAAGAATTAGTAATAGTAAAAGAAAAGTACAATGCCTTCTTAATCGAAAGGGGAGAACTATTAAAAAAATATACGACATTAAAACAACAGTGTGGTGATCTGCTAAATGCAACCTACACTGTGCCAATACATTATGTTGTTCCCATTGTAATAGCGTTAGTGTGCATGTTGCTAGAAAAAATCTTCTAATATTTTTTTGCTTTTGTAAATAATTTTCTTTATGAGAAGTAATATGGCTCCTTTTTAATTTTTTATCTACAATAATAATAATAATAATATAAAAAATAATAATAATAATAATAATAATAATAATAACAAAATAATAATAATTAATATTAATAATAAAAAATTAACACAATATAGTTATAGAATATGTGGTGCAATCACAAACTCAAGGTTTATTCTGTACAATTATATAGAAATGGATTTAGGTCTGGACAATTCATATTCTTTATCTGAAAAACTCTTATCGTTTTTTTGTACGATTGAGATTAAACAAATCTGTAAATAGTATGATATATAAATGAACGTATCCTTAACGAACTGAATTCAATAATTTTCAGTTTTAATGTTTTTTTTTTCTTTCTTTTCTTTTTAAATCTTTGTGGAGGAATGAAAAATCAAAGGCAGTATTATATTATATTCTATGAGTACATGCATTGTGTATCGATTTAAAATGAAACTACGGCTAGGTGGAACGTATTTAGAGAAGAAACTAGACAATATCACTGAAAATGTTCAATATGCTGCCAATCTGAATAATCATATCTTTTCAAAGTGTGGTATTTATTATCGGATTACAATGCCACACGCTTCGTGTTAATACGTCGTCGCGATTATTTATAATGCAACGTCTTCGCTGGATCGATCAATGAATGGCAAGTGGCTATGACACAAAATTAACTGAGCAAAGTGTGTTCAATAATTATCTCGTAATATTTTTGTTTATTGTATGTTTTTTTGTTTTTGCCTGCGTATGAAAGTAACAAATAAAAATCAACAAACACAAAACAAATAAAAAGTAAGAAAAGATATATAAACAAAAAAAAAAGCGGTTTTTTACAATCGACCGTCGAGATTATGTATATGAACAAATTTTTATGAAATCTGAAGTAAAGAGGCTGTAAATCTTTTCTTCTTTTTCTTTTTCTTCTTCAAGATTTCTTATTGCGAAATTTGTCTTACAACAAATTTCTGATCCGTCAATGATATCTATTATGCATATTCACTTACACACAAATACACGCACAGTGACACTATAATTCTTGTACTTCTGAAATTAATATTTTCATTATTTTAAATATGTTTCATGTATTATCATTTATAGTTGTGAAGTGTCGTTTCACAATATATGGCACGTGTTCAGTTATTTGTAAAAAGATGTGTTGCATAGATTTTCACCACAAGCGTGCTTCATGCACAGGCATGTTATTGATTGAGTTGTTTAAAATAAAATTGATTTTGTAACGGTTCTGCAAGTTCTCTATTTAATGGTAGCATATAATTACGATTATATATTTATTCGCTCGTAATCGATGTTTGTCTATACGGATTGCAACAGCTTTAAATACTCACTATCTTTTCTTATTTAATTATTGCTGAACAAAAAAGAAAAAAAGAAACAAAAGAGATTATGTTACAATTTTTATTTGTTTCCAATTTGCATGTTTCATTTATCTCTTTGTTTGCATTGATATCATCACATTAAAAGGCATATCTAATCGACCGACCTAATAACTATTAAGCAGATTATTTTCTTATACTTGTAGACCTTTTTAAAATTAATCGATACAAGGAGTTTTCGATCTTACAGCGATAAATTGGCCTAGGCATCTATATATCGAAAAGAAAAAATTGAAAATTAATGAAGAAAAAACAATATAAGAAAAATGTAGAAAATCAGATTATTGCGAGTGTACACTTTTCCATTGAATTCTTTTTATATAAATATAATCAAATTTAATCGTATCTTCCTAATTTGTTAGTTTTAAATAGAGTGCCATTGCTCGATCAACATTTTTCGCGTTAAAAGAATTAAAGAGATGTAATTATAACAGGACAAGGAGAGGGAGAAAAGAAGAGATTAGATTATTTGTACTGGTAATTATGGTAGTGGATTAAATAAAAAAAATTATTTAAATAAAAAAGTAAATTATAAAATAAATAAAAAAAATTCTGTTTACTTAATTCTCTATTATAATTACCAGCACATTTGTTCTCGATATGTATCTTTTGAGGGAAAGAAAATCAAGTAATCTCACGATTGTCACTTTCGTCAGTTGAATTTAGAAAAGGGCAAGAGAATCGTGGAAATTTATATAGTAAATCTTACTTATACATAATATTGTTGATATAACCTTAATACTTATGTATAAGTCATATAAGAATGTAATAAAAATTAACTTAATTGAGAATGTACTTTTTCTCATTTTATAAGACCTAAGGCATGTGCAACTACCATAGTAGAATAAACGATAAATTATTTATAGTTGTATGTATATTATCCAGACATTTTTATAAATTAAAATGAAAAGAAAAGAAAGAAAACAAAAAAAAAGTCTTAATTTAATTGCACAATTGTGATTTACTACTCTTATCAATCTTTTGTTGTCTAATATTTTACAATTTTTGTCACGTGCACGCTTTTATGAGAGATATTTTATAATGTGAACCGTTCATTGAAATAAAAATAATCATTAAAAATTATACGTGGGACAAACCTGTAAAGTTAGAAAAAAAAGTGTATTTAAAAAAAAATGATATATTAAAACGCAATCGATTTGAGCGCTATTTTAAAAAAATTACATATGGTACAGGCTGCGTATCTGTATTTTACATTCTTTTGATAATTCAGCCTATATTCAGCTTCATATCAATTAGCCATATGCTACTGAAATAGCGTAGACCTCATGAATGAATCTCTTTCGTTAGCATCGTCGCTTCTGCGACGTGATGCGATAGATTATGTAATTTAGATAGGAAAATACGCGCTGATACGTACCTCGCGGTTTGAAGGATCATTTGAATATAAAGATGATATTGTATGCTATGCCTTCTTACACGTTAGTATCGACGTAAGATATATACGTAATAATAGATACCAATTTTTATTCTCTTTGTTTCTCTAACTTCTTATTACTTTTTTCTTTCTTTAATTACAGGAATTCGTCTCGGGAAAAGGGAATATTATAATTAGTAAAAACGAACCACACCAGGACAATTATTGTATTATAATCCTGTAATGCTGATATTAGAGCAATGAAGAAGTTGAATAAAAAGGTGGAAAATTCATCCAACGAGCAAAATAAAAATATGTCGGATGGACAGGTCACGAATGGCGATACTTCACCAACTCGCATTTGTAGAGATTTTCTAAGGAATGTTTGCCATCGGGGGAAACGTTGCAAATATCTTCACGAACGTTCGGACGATGATCCGGTCGAGGGTTACACATTTTGTCACGATTTTCAAAATGGCATGTGCAATTGGCCGGGTTGTAAATTTTTACATTGTACAGAGAACGAAGAAAAACGTTTTCGTGCAACGGGAGAGTTACCAACTCATGTTTTAAATAGGTTGAAAAGTAATGGTGAAAAGTCAGAGTATCCTCTGTGCAAAGATTTTATTAAAGGTACTTGCCAGAGAATTCAGTGTAAATACAGACACGTAAAGAAGGATGAGCCACAACATAATTTGACGCAAGCGGCACTTAATAATGCATCAAGACCTCCCCATAATTTCAACAGTCCTAGCAATAACGAAAGTCGTAGATATGAGGAGGATAGAAAGTGAGTAATGGATGACTCATCATAATATTTCTTAGATCATTGTTTTATTTTTCGATTATCTGCGATTAAAAATTAAATTATTTCTATTTGAATAATAAATTATATTTTGTGTAGTTTTCATTGGACGATGGAAGAGCAACACAATTTAGTTGCAAGTAATGGCTACAATACATCCCAGCATCCAACAGATTACATAGGGCCACCGGAGCCAAAACGACGAATAGTTTCCGGAGAGACGGTCGTCCACTTCGAAACTTCGCAAATTGTTGGTCAACATACAGCACAGCCGGTGACACCAGGCTATTATTATCCAGTAATACCTCGTAATGAAGCTAGGGCTATTGTTTTAGAGGATGAAAATGCATTATTACGAAAGAATATAGAAGAATTAAAAAAACAGGTTATTATCTCTATCGGATTCGTAATATACTCTTTAGGTGAATCATCAAATATTTATTAATAGTATTATTATTACTATTATAGGTCAGCGATTTAACCGCAACCAATGAGTTTTTGCTAGATCAAAATGCTCAATTGAGAATGTCGGGGAAACGAACTGCAAATGTGACTGCTGTAACAGTCCCAGCAGTTACAATTACAAACACTGTTCCACCGTCTCAAGCTCCCACTCCACAACAAATGGTCAATGCTGCAGTAGCAGCTGGTACGTTACGTACGGTTACAGCGAGTGTAGCTACTGTTCCAGTAAGCATAGCTACGGTCGCACCCGTATCTATTGCCGCGGTATCCATGGCTCCCGTTTCGATCCCACCACCTATTGTGACCATGGCACAACAGACTATCACGATGAGTGGTTCAGGTCCACAAGCGACAAATCAACAACCACCTAATACGCAACAACCTGCCAGTTTACCTCTTTCAATATCAGGTGCAACCGCACCTTTGGTTTCCTATCCTATCATGACTCAAGAACTTAGGCCTGTTTTGCAGTAATGCATCGACGAAAGAAAGCTTTCGATTTATTAGGTGAGTCAAGGAATAGGTAGTTGCTTTCTGTATTTGTGATTTTGGGGCTCAAACTTTGGATGAACTTGTTTACATAATAGCTTGTAAAGCAATGATGAACATGCAGAAAGTAACAAACACAAATGTACCTAGCCGAAATGCGTCTATGTACATCTAAAAGATGTATTTAAAGAATACCAAAAAAAAAATATTGACAGAACTACTGTTCTTTATATCGAACAATTTATATAATTTATTATGCAGGGTAAACGTAAAAACGCGACTCTTATAGCAGTACAATTTCTATGCACTCTTTTAAGATGTTCATACATCTTCACACGGTTTGTATATATTGCTTCTTCCTTCTGGGTTCTAATTTCTCTCGAATATCATATTTTTACTCCTTTTTTTAGAAATTCACTCTGCAAAGTAGTAAATGAGGGAAGTATGAATGTAATCAGATAAAGTATAATTGGAATATAAATTGTTTCAGATTTATTAATGCATAAATAATTGATTATTTAGAGGTTAGTAAAGAAACAATAAATAATTTACTTTGTTTTATATTATAAACATCACAAAAATATCAATCTATGCGTGTAGTCAGTCATTTGCAAGGTAGTTATACGAATCTGTAAGAAAAATTGTAAAGTAAGATATATGTATGAGAAGGAACTCATTTAGATTATTAAATTAATGTAAGTACAAAATAGAAGGAAATATATTAGGTCGCAGTGAAGATTTGTCACCGAGTTAAGATAGTAGCGAATCCTGTAATTGTTTTCCGTATGCAAGGCTGTAAATATTTTGTTGCTTAACTGTTCTCCCCCTTCCAAGACAAATGTTTATATTCCCATTTTCAATAAATAAGTCGACTATTCTTATAAAATAGCAATATTTTAATAAATTAAATACACATCAAGGCCCATTGTGCATATTTATGTAAGCTTTTGACAAAATCGTTGTAGTTGAATAAGAAAAAGAAAAAAAGGTAAGAATTCTTATCAATTCTAATCATAGGAATATATCAAATATTTATAATAAATTATAAAAAAATATTTAAAGTTTATTTATTCTTGCAAATAATTAAAAAATAACAAAATGTTGATAAGTACGTTGATAAGTAACGTATGACAGAAATAGAATTATTGAACTCGAATTTGTAAAAATTCGAGAAAAAAGAAACTTAATTAAAAATCCCGAAGCTTTATTATATGTACCACCACATATTACATTTATTTTTTCCATCGATATGAATACAATCTACGATGTTTTGTAACTTCAGCAAAACTAGCATAAATGCAATTAAGTATAAAGAAGAATAATCTTCATATATAAAATAGTCGATAACAACAAATAATATTATATTGCAATACATATTTGAAAAAAACTAAAGTATTACTTATTTCTTATTTAAATAATATAACAAAACAATTTTAGATCTGTAAAGCCCTACGCAATGTTACAAATTCACTTTTCATCCCACATAATTCCTTTTGACATACGAATCATATAATTTTTTGTTGTTGCGTTTGCGGGATTTTTAATTGTATAGAAAACGGAAGTTGTAATTTAATAATACTTTTTATATATATAACGTTATTTCTGGTTTTTTAGATCTTTGATATGTACAGTACTGTAATCATTTATTGTGAAGGAGTTTGCCTTACATCTTTCTGTACATATATTTAATTACCGACGAATTTATATATTTCATTTTTCACTTAGAAATATATAAATATACATATAAAAGAAGGTAGCAGTGATTTAATAGCAGTGTGTCAATGCACATACGTTTGCAATTATTACTTTTTTTAAATAGAAAAATTAAATGACCACACTTGACTTATAGCTTTCCTCATCTTTATCAGAATTTGTGTTATAACTTTAGTTAAAAGAGTTATATCTATGCTGTTGTTGGTAGAGATTTAAATGATCTATTTCTTAACCAATATGCACCAGCTAAAAGAACAGTGCAGCAAAAACCAACTATAAAACGTAATTTCCAATGGTATTTCGAACATCTTAACACATTAATTATTTTAATGGTTTGTTCTCTGGTATCACGCTCGCTTCCCGAATTTTCAATTACGAAGTTTGCCATTTCTTCTTTCTTTTCTAAAGACATTTGTACTTCTATTCTTAGTTTTGCTTTAGATTCCGTAAAACCTGTACGTTCCATTAATCTTTGCAATTGTAGATCCTCCTCGCTGAAAAATATAAATAATTAGAAGTATTACTATTGGTTTAATTAAAAAATACAAATTAACAACTTACCAGGTTACAACAATAATTTTATGTAGATAATTCAACATATGTCCTGATTCAAAGAGTAACGGTAATTCCAGGACTATAAACGGATGGCCTTGTACAAAATACTTAAATGTTTGCCAATAGATTTCCCTGTATATATCAGGGTGTGTAATGGCATTTAATTTTTTCCTTTTTTCAATATCATTGAAAATTAAATCACCTAGTTTGGCTCTATCAAGTTGTTTTGTAGTGAGGAATACCTCAGACCCAAATTCCTTCTGTATTTTATACCAAGCTGGTTTCCCAGGCTCGACAACTAAAAATATAAAAAAAAAGATTGTTATTACACAGCTATATTTTCTAAAATTCAAAAAATAGTATTGATTAATTAATATTCTAAATAAGAAACTTTGTATTTTTAAATACATACATACTTTATTTATTCAAGAAGTTTCTACACGTCGACAAATTAAAAAGATGCAAATCATTTTGAAGGACTTTGATCTACACCTAGAGGAATGTATGTAAAAAAATATTCTTTCAAAATTGCAGTGTATATGTATATGTATATATGTAAATATGCATATATATGAGGAACATTGCATTTAAAAAAAATAATATCATTTAATTACACGAACTATGTCATTTTAATAATGAAAAATTGAAGCTGATTTATATTTTCCATTAATTCTTGGCATTTTTATTTTCTTATGAAAAGATTCATTTCGTATTTAAAGTGACATTAGCAATGTAATTAATCATATCTAACCTTTACGAGCAATCGCATCGGCATCGATGACGGGTATGCCATGTTCGCGAAATACATTAGCTACAGTACTTTTTCCAGTGGCTATTCCACCTGTCAAGCCTACTAGAAACATTATCAATATAATTTAGATTACAAGAAGTCTCTGTGGTTATCTTAGAATTTCGTCACGTCAACATAGTCATTACACTAGTCATGGATTCTTTAAAGCTCAAACTACTCCGTATGATAATAAAGTTTATAAGAATGAATTTTCTTCTTCCGTCAAATACTTCTCATTGTCAGTAAGTTTTCAAAGTTGCTAGACCGTGTTATGAAAGAAATATCCCTAGCATCAAATTCAAGATCATAATGGTCACGCATCCGGCATATTTAAATTCAAATTGTATTAAAGGTATTTATATTTTATTGCTTAATGCGCGCGCGCGATTTATTCGTAATGTTAATTACAATACGCAATTATAATTTATTTAAATTAATAGTAAATATTTTCTAGTCAAGTTTGGAGAAACGAATAATAAGTAAATGAGAAATAGTAAGTAAAAAAAGAAGAAGAGGAACGGAAAGAATATCCAATTAGAGATAAAAATATATTGGATCGAGAAAAGAGCGAAGGAGATATATAAATAGAATTTCGAAGAATAAGATCTACGAAAAAAAAAATACGAAAGAAATATAACAAATAGAAAAAGAAATCGATAGTAATTATCGTTGTAAATTATATTCGACATATATATTTTATTTTATAGAAATCATAAGTGGATCGAAACGTCAGAGCAGTAAATACATATTTATTTTTTCTCATCTATTAATAACTCTAATTTATTTAATTATCAATCCAATCGCTTATATTGTTTACTTAGTATCATTTCCCTTTTCAATAAAAATAAAGGATAGATAATATGCAGTAATTTATCACGAGAGTCTGTCACTCCTCTCGAAGAACAGGTAGGTTTACCCCCACCATTGGATGTGTACGTCGCGCGCCGGCTATATTAGTGTTTCAGCCGACAGGCGGCAGCACGGACGTGTGTCGCGCGCGCGCTCCTTGTTCTAGGAACTTTTGCCTTTGGCGTACTGGCAAACTCCTCACAACAGTGTCTACTCTCAAAGATGGCAGATCAATTTGTGTTGTATTATCATGTGACGGTGAAAAGCTCTCGTTGATAAGGCGGTACGTGCGTAAACTGTCGTAGATTTTCTTCCTGTGGAAGGATCGCATTCCACAACGTCGAAAATCGGCACGATGGCGGACATGAAGAGTCCACCGTTTAGTGATATTAAGAGACCGGAGGAGGTGGTGGCGATGGCGATGAACGACAGCTTGAAATTCGCCGTCCTGATCGGGCTGATTGAAGTGGGACAGGTGTCTAATCGGGAAGTTGTCAACACGGTGCTTCATTTGGTGAGTGCTTTTTTTTTTACAAACGCGTCAATGTCATTTTTATAGTGGTCAAAGGAGAGCCAAGTTTGACCAGTGTCGTAGTATACGACGTACCCGCCGGCATCTTCGGGGGTGGGTTGAGGGAGGAGTAAAGAAAGACAGAGAATATCACGTTCTCTCTCTTTCTCCCTTTCTCTCTCTCTCTTTCTCTCTCTTTCTTGCTTGCTTGCTCCCTCGTTCTACTCGTCGGTCAAATCCTTGTGTCAAGGTGAACTGTCAAACGCGCGCCTCGCCGTCGTCGTTGCATAGTCGTTTTTCCAATACGCAGTGCTTGCTCGTTACGCTCTATCTCAAGAACGGCCACGCGTTTTCAATCTAAACTTATTATTTATTTTATCTAAAGGAAAAATATCGAACGTAGTATATACGTGTAAAGTAACCTGTATTTATCTTATCTTTTTAAAAATATTTTAATAATAGTCGCGTAGATATTAGAAAAAAAAAAAAAGAAAAAAAAAAGGAAAAGGTCGGACACGTTTTAATCGTTTCTCGAATCATAGTTTCGATCGAAATTTATCTTGAAAGATCGTAATTTTATCATCGATCGTTCGTCGTGGTATAAGTTACTATTTCATTTTTTTTTTTTTTTTTTTTTTTTTTTTTTTATAATTAAGATAAAGAGAGGGGAAAGAGATTTTATTCTTATTCTCGCCAGGGGCGTTAGTTATTTCGTGCGAATCCATTTAGCAAACTTTTCGACGTGTTCGTCATTCGACAAATTNTTTAATCGTTTCTCGAATCATAGTTTCGATCGAAATTTATCTTGAAAGATCGTAATTTTATCATCGATCGTTCGTCGTGGTATAAGTTACTATTTTTTTTTTTTTTTTTTTTTTTACAATAGATTATAATTCGTTTCATTACTTTTATTCTTATTCTCGCCAGGGGCGTTAGTTATTTCGTGCGAATCCATTTAGCAAACTTTTCGACGTGTTCGTCATTCGACAAATTGGCCTCGGGCGTTTGTTTTCCTCCACCTGTCGAAAATTAATTAACGAAATTTGAGGATACTGTTGCTGCTGCTGCTGCTCGAGCGCGCGCGAATTTTCTTCTGGTCGTTCTTTGAAAACGAAATCGATCGAAAATATTAATAAGATTTGCTCGAAACGTTGATCCTCTTCGAAGGAAACAAAAAAAATATTACAATTGTTCACGCTAATTATTTCAGCTTTACTTTGGATTCCTTTAGGTATCACCTACGTCGTGTATACACAAAGAAAACATTTAGGCGGATTAGTTGGAGAACAAAAAAATGTAGAAGAAAAAGAAGAAAGAATAGCAAAAGGATATCGATGTAGTACCTTTTCTTTTGATATATTTTTTTGGCGCGCTTGATCATCCATTGAACAGCATAATACTGAGAAGAACGTTACCACTAATAATTCATTTTCGATTTCGATTTCACTTTGCATTTCGAAACCGTGAACGTATTTACTAAATTTAATAGAAGAATTATGAAATGGATATCATTCGCATTGGTATATGAATAGAAAAGTGATGTAATCGTTATTTTTATATCTTCCTCTTTATTTTCTTTCCTTTAAATTGTTTTCCTTATTTCCATTTTTTGAGTCATCATAATTGAGTTTCTGCAGTTTATGTTACACCTGCGATATTTTTATATTCATGCATTTATAGGCACATATACAAATACATTTATTTTTCTTTTAATTTTATATCAACGCATATACACGGTGTCGGAAATATTATTGAAAATATCGATAATTTTTTCGTACGCTTTTTTATTTGCATATATGTATATAAAAAAAAAGAAAAGAAAAAAAAGGAATTATTTTTTTTCTCTTACGCTTAAAAATCGATTATTAAGTTAAATAAGCATTGTTGATATTATAATAGAATCTTTAATGACCGAAATAATTTTTGATAACGATTATTTGTACTACCGTTATCTATCGAATGATAAAATTCATATCTTTGCTTAGTACGATATTTACTGATATCAATTAGAAAAAGGTGTAAAAAAAAATAAGAAATAGAGAGAGCCAAATACTTTACGTAATATCGACTTTAGAAGTATCTTAAAATTTTTTTTTTTATTCTCTCTCTCTCTCTTTATTCTTTTTAATTATTTTTTATTTCTTAGTCATGTTACGTCATAAAAGAATATTTCTAGCGAAGGTTTAGTAATCGTTTAAAATATAATACGTTTAAAATATTTCCTTGTACGAAGGAATGAAGGAATAAACAAACGAATGAATGAATGAAGGTAAAAATGTGTTAAGAAATGATCGTTTTAAAAGAAGAGACAAATAACAGGCGCGTGGTACCGATTAATCTTCTCCTACGATGCGTATTACGTGTTGAACGGTTTTCTTTTCCGTTTTTTTCTTTTTCCTCTTATCGATACTGTGGTCAAGAAATAGCCATAAGCTTTTAACGAAAGCTTTTGAACGCTTTTTCAGTAAGTAATTAAGTCCTTTCAACGATACGGTCGTAATCAATTTGTCGTCAATCGGAACGTTTAACTCATTGTTACTTCCATTAATTTAGTTGTACGTTTTATTCTTTGATTATTTGTTACTCGTTGATAGAACAGAAGAGATTAATAAAAGGGTTTTTATCATTTATCGAGTCAAGAAGTAACGATTTTATGTCAGCGAATTATTATCTCATAAAATAAATAAGATACAGTATTGCAAATTGTTTTTATTATATTTATTGATCTTTAAATAACATAAATATAAATTTATATTGAAAAATTTTAATATAATTATAGGAATGATGTTTATTCGAAAGTCGTGTTACCACCGAGTGCATAGGGATTAACGACCTTCTCAATTTCATCTTTCGTAATTGTCTCAAACAGGAAAACCACATTTATTTTTTACAAAATATTTATCTGCCGTTTGATTTATCGAAATAAATTTGGAACGGTAACAAAAAAGAAAATCGGAAAGTATTCCAAATTGTGGTTCAATTTTTCACTTATATTTTTTTGATGTTATAATAAAATATAAAAAGAAAAAAAGAAAAATATTAATCAGTTTTTAACGTTTGAATTAATTACAAATGAAATGAGTCTAAGTAGAAGTAAATCGCTCAATAATTTTTCGAGTTAACGCGGATGTCAGTTTGGAAAAAAAAAGTTTTGTTAGCGTATAAAAGGTTCAACGCATGCATATCCTCGAATATTCATAACTTCTACAAATTTTTATATATGTAGATAACTCTCTAGTTGAAACATGAAAAAAAACGAATAGAAAAAATTACCATGGAAAAAAAGGTATCCATTTATTTGTCCGGATAAATGAGAGAGTCTCTCTTCATTACGCTTGCCGAAGTATAACAATTTAACAGAAGATGAAAAAGTAAGAAGTGGAAACCAAGAAAGAAACATCTGAAATAAAAATTGTCAAAACCACAGAAGAGCAGTCCAACTACGTTGTTAAGTTTTGTATTCTACGATTAACTAATTTTTCATGCGGAAAAAAATGAATAGTAATTATACAAGGACTAACACAAAAATATGCTGTTAAATTTTAGAAATAGATTTTTTATCTCTAGAAAAGAAAAGTAAATTATATCAATTTGTGAATTTGGAAATGCTTATATTTTTCAATTATGTGACTTTGAAATATGATTTTACAGTACATAGTATACTCCAGTTGTTTATTTTAATTGCTGAAATTAAATCTATACTTTTTCTTTGCATATTATGAAGTAGTTCATATTGAACTTTTGTCGCATATTATATTAAATTTTATACACATTTATTTTAATGTTTAACAAAAAATATATAAGTATAATAACTATACATGTAGTCCGCATTTTGTCAACGTATTAGTATAGATAAGGAAGCAAATCGTTAGTAGTAAAAACTTCAGGGTCTTTAAAAGGTTTTTATCATTTCGGTATTTTTTTCATTTTTACTTTTCTTTATCTAACTTTAAGCCAATATAAATGTAGAGTAGAATTCGTAACGGATTCGAATTAGCTACGGCGTTGTTTGAAATTACGAGTCTATCGTACCGCCCTTGAAAGCCCTTAATCTAGCTATTGTTCAAGGTGGGTTATCGTTACTGTTCTGTGCATATCGGATCGCGTGTTACGACACTGATCATCGATCTTGCGTATGTTCCTTCCCATTTGACTATCATTTTTATTCTCTCATTTTGTTTTAATTTTTCTTTTTTTTTTATTTCTCCTACCATTAAGGTAATATAAATTTATGTTTAAAACAAAATAATTATTATGAGAATTTAAATATAAAAAGATTAACAATAAAATTGAAAGATAGGAAAAGAGTAAGAAGATATATGATGTATCGATAATTCGAAAATAACAAATTCGTATTAGGTGAATACTGACAATGAATCAAAACGATTAAATTTCCTGAAAAGTTATTTTTACGGTCGACGGAAAACGTTCTTTTTTTCCTTTTTTTTTTTCGATTAACAAATAGCGTGCATGTTTACGGTGTCACGTCGATTATTTCGAGAGAGAGAGAGAGAAAGAGAAATAGCATATATAGAAATTTTTCGATACGAAGCTTTTCGTTCGTCGTATTACCTCGACGCCGACACGTTGATAAAATGTTGACGTTGAGATTAGATAAACACGTATGACTGACGCAAAAAAGAAATAGAACGGATTTATCAGAAGCATGAAAGCTCGAGATCGATATTCATATCCAGAAAAAATAAAGGAGAAAAAGAATCATTTTTCTTTGGGTTCTTTAATTCGGTTCAAGTTATTATGTAGAAAGCAATCATGATCTTTAATGATCTGAATTTAGTTTGAAAGTTTTTTTTTTTTTTTAAATGAAACTTCTTAAGCAATTTCTTAACTTCTTTGATCTAAACGATGAAATTTTATGAAACGACATGAAAAGAGAGGAAGCATAAAGGTAAGGAGAGAGAGAATGAGATAGAACCTTCAGTCTATCGGTTATTGAACGAGATTATGGAAGGTTTTAATGTTTGTTGGTGGTATATGAGTGT